TATCTATGTATCTATCTATGTATCTATCTATGTATCTATCTATCTATCTATCTATCTATCTATCTATCTATCTATCTATCTATCTATCTATCTATCTACTTATTGGTTTTCTAGGAACCCACAGTAACAAGACACTGGATATTTTAGAAATACTTTGAACTTTTAAAGATGCTCTTTTTGTTTGTTTGTTTTGTTGTTTTTTGAGACAAGGATCTCTCTCTGTAGCACTTTCCTGGACCTCTCTAAGTAAATGAGGCTGGCCTTGATCTCCTAGAGATCCACCTGCCTCTTCCTACTACGTGCTGGAATTGAACAATCAACCCACTTAAGGGAAAGCTTGAATTTGCAGAGCAGACCTGCTGCCTCTTGTTAGGTTTGTTAGCCAGGGAACCTCAGGGAGACCACACTGCTTCCTTCAGGGTCAGAATTATTACCTCTGTCTGACTGAGCACTACAGGGAAATGGCTACTGCCAAGGAACAGGCCCACATCTTTTTGCAGAGGAAGGAAGGGTTTGAGATGGGGTTGTTAATGATGCCTGGGGAGTAGACATGGCAGGAGAAAACTGGGGCAGTTGTACATAGGAGTAAATGCAAAGAAGAAAAAGTAGCACAGGTCGAAGAAATGCCTGGGGGTGGGACCCATTTTTGGATGGCTGGGTGGTCAGGAAAGGACTCTCTGAGAAGAAGGCTTTGAATGATGCGAGACAAGAATCTATGCAAATATTCAGGAGTGAGTTTTCCAGGTAGCAGGGAGAGTAAAGACAAAGGACCGATAGCAGCAGTGAGCTGGGTATCTCTGAGAAGGCGCCGATGTGGTTGGAAGGCATGGAGCAGGATGAATAGGAGATTAGATATGGCAGGTATCCAGAGGCCGGGTCACACAGGAACGTGCCATCTAAACTTGATTAGAAACATTTTAATCAGAGGCACTGACGAATACTTATGGGAGGTCTGAGCAGGGAGATATTTTTTTCTAGAATGAAATTCCAAAGGCATTTCTCTGAAGGGAGTTTCTTTCTTTTTGATTTGGACAAGAGGCGAGAGGAGGAAGGGCCAGGGCTGGTACCTGCAGAAACAGAGTAAGAGACTAAGTCCTGAGTCAAGGAAGGGATGTGAGCATTTTGTCTACTGGAAGCATGTGATGCAGGGAGGGAAAGAGGGAGGGCGAGGATGGGTCCAGAGTGCCAAGGATTTTGAATGCCAGGCTCCAGCACTCAGACTTTTTGAAAAGCAGTTAGGGTGATGGAAGCATCTGAAGTGGAGGAGTAATTGCTTCACACAGTCTTTAAAAAGAGAAGCAGCGTCTATGAGGGAATGAGGGATTGGAAGCCTAGAGACTGAGACCAGCTAGGAGACTCTTCTGATATTGACTATTTCATCAAAGATGGGGTTTAAAAAAACGGCACTCTCAGGGAGGGTGTCAGATGCGTGGGCACACTCACGGAGAATGTCAGATGTTGGGGCACACCTAGGGAGAGTGTCAGATGTGGGACACACTCAGGGAGGTGTCAGATATGGGGCACACTCAGGGAGAGTGTCAGATGTGGGGCACACTCAGGGAGGGTGTCAGATGTGGGGGACACACTCAGGGAGAGTGTCAGATGTGGGGCACACTCAGGGAGGGTGTCAGATGTGGGACACACTCAGGGAGGGTGTCAGATGCGGGGGCACACCTGGGGAGGGTGTCAGATGTGGGGCACACTCAGGGAGAATGTCAGATGTGGGGGCACACTCAGGGAGAGTGTCAGATGTGGGACACACTCAGGGAGGGTGTCAGATGTGGGACACACTCAGGGAGGGTGCCAGATGTGGGGGCACACTCAGGAACAGTGTCAGATGTGGGGCACACTC